CAATACGTAATTTTTCATCCCACATTGCACTTTCATCCTTCTTTCCCTTTGAAAACTTCTGCTTTAAATATTCGCGTATATTCATATTACCAGCGAATTGTAAAATTGTGTAATAATGTCCATTAAGCTCTATTTCCAAAAATAAAAATAAAAATAAAATAAAATAAAATAAAAATTATTATTAATGCATATAAAGAATTTCCATTTATCAATTGCAGTTATATGAAAATATGTAAACCTTTGGTCATTCCGTAGAAGTTTATTACATTCGGATGGAAATTAGCTTTTTGCAAAAGTTGAAGCTTTTTGGACGTAATTTACATAAAATTTAATGTAATAAGTGTAAGTATTTTGGTTCTCAAAAATTTTAATTTAAGGCATTACCTTATTAATAAACTCTTGGATAATCTTTTCATTTAAACTTTTATCACTTTTACCACTTTTATCGCAAATTTTAAGGCACTTGAGAGTAACCACGATCCCGTAATTTTTCCACATAGATTTATATACTGCACCAAATTCTTCTTTAGTAAACTTATCTTGCTCACTAAATTCGTCATAGCTAAAATAACTAATATTTTGATAGAAAATTGGGCCTTCAAATTTTTTAACTAATTTATTTGCCGATTTATCAGGGCCATTATATTGATTTAAAGTTTTAAGGACTGCTTTTATTTCTGGGCGCTTGCTAGGGTTGACATTCCAGCATTCAGTGTATAGTTTAATGTATTGAGATGGTGTTCCTTCCACAGGCTCTTCTCTATTACCTTTGTAAATATGTATAGCAATTGCCTCCTTAGACTTAAAAGAATTAAACGGCTTTCGGCCACTCGAAATTTCCCAAAGTATAACTCCAATGCTGTAGATGTCAGATGCTTTAACACGTTTGTATGTATTATCTATAAAGCACTGAGGATCAATATATTCTGTCGTTCTATCAGATTCTGTCGCTCTATCAGACATCGGATCAGAAACTGTTGATTCAATAGTCAGCTGTTTTAACAGGCCTGCAATCATTGCTTTTCCTTCGTTGACTAAAATATTTTTAGGATGCTATAAAGTAATATTAGTAAGATAAATGAATTTATTGTATTAAAATAATAATGCATGCTTACAAGATTTTGATGAATAATATTTAGATTATGTAAGAAAGCAAGTCCCTGTGCTATATCATTTGCAATACGGGTTTTATCTGTCCATTCAATTTTGCTAAAATTTCGGCTAAGATAATCACGAAGATTTCCATCACTTGCACGTTGTAAGACTGAATTAAAGCATCCAGGAGAACCTATTAAAGTTAATATACATGCGAAGAATAAAATATTTTTAAATTATAATAAGCTTATTTAACAACTCATTCATTGGAAGGAAATTAAACTTATACAAACCTTCATCTTTAGAATGATTAACTTCCAATTAAATTGCATATTAATTTAAATGTAGCTGAAGCCGAGACTAAACATCATTTTATTTTATATACAGTCGAGTATTGAAATAGTCACTTGGTACCCAAATAATTGTGGGGGCTGAAGCTGAAAAATTTGGGGTCTCAATTTAGATCTATAAAATCTACCAACCCCAAATTCCAATCTATTATATAAAAAAACTAAAATAATGCACCCCAAAAAATTTTAAAAGTTTCATAATAAAATAGATCAAGATTTCAGCTTTAGCTATCACAATAAATATAACTATACATCAATATCAACTGTATTTTGATAATAAATAGAGCTTTTAATGAGGGTAGAAGTACATACCTTTAGTTAAACCGTAGAAATGGTTTATATGAGAATGAAAGCTTGCTCTTTGTAAAAATTTAAGCTTTGAGTATTATATAACAAACACTATATCATTAATATGTGCAGAGTAAAAAAAATCTTTTTTATTAAATAAATTTTTGTATACCTGTTTTACAAAATCTTGAACATTCTTTTGATCAAAATTAGTTCCAATCTCTAAATTTTTAAGAAATACTAATAATTTGGGTTTTTTCCATTCAGATTTGTATGAATTATTTTCTCTGATTTTAGAAGAGTGGTCAAAATCTTTATAGTCAATAAGATTAATTTGATGTTGGGCAATAGCCCTTTCAAACAACACACTTGAATGAATTTCTGGACTTTTATTATTATTTACTGGTTCTGGACTTAATTTAACTAAAATATCAAAAATTTCTTTTATTTCTGGACGTTTATCAGGTTCTTCGTTCCAACATCGTTGATAAAGTTCAAGATATTGCGGTGGTGTTTTCTCTACAGGAGTCTCCCTTTTCCCTTGAAATATATGTACAACAATTGCCTCCCTAGAAGTGAATTTTTCGAATGGTGGTTTACCACTTGAAATTTCCCATAGAATAACACCAAAACTATAGATGTCTGATTTTTTATTAAGCACATACGAAGCATTATTAAAACATTTGGGATCAATGTATGCAGGCATTCCGTGAATACTCTGTCTCAAATCTGGTGACAAATCACTAATTTGCTGAGATAAACCAAAATCAGCGATCATCATTCTTCCCTCATGGACCAATATATTTTTAGAATGCTATAAAATAAAATAAAACATGTTTCACATTCCATATTATATAAAAACATTTATAGCTCATGAGATATACTTACAAGATCTCGGTGAACAACATTATTATTATGCAAGAATAAAAGACCTTTTGATATTTCCTTGGCGATACGAAGCTTATCTTTCCATGTTAATTTTTTAAAATTTGCTTTTAAATATTCTCTCAAATTTCCTTCCTCGGCATATTCCAAAATTAAATTGTATTCATTGGAAGTATCTATTTTTGTAAATATATTTGATTTAGAAATGACTTAAATGCATGAGAATATATATGTTTTTGAAGTTTCTACTTTCAGGAGTTTAATTTCAAGAGACAGATTTTTTGTAATGTGGTTATAAGTATGTCGTAGTAAATTGCTCGTTTAAATTTTTTTTTTTTTCAGAATTTGAATGAAATCAAGAGACAGATTTTTTGTTACGTGGTTGTAAGTACCGTATTGGCGCGTAATAACGCACATGGACGTTATTTCGAAACTCCCATTTTTTTGAAAATTATTTTTTTGACTCAAAATAACGTCCATGCGCGTCCCAAAATAACGCGCCTCCTTAAATCAAAATTTTCAGGCTAAGTTCATTAATAAAAGTAGGGCTTCCTCTTGTAACCCAAATTTGTCAAAATGATTCGAATTGCTGCGCATGCGCGTCCCAAAATAACGCATTATTACGCGCCAATACGGTATGTCGTAGTAAATCGCTGGTTTAAATTCTTCTTTTCTTCAAAATTGAATAAAATATCCTGAGAACTACTTGATAATTTCAACATTAACGCACATTTTTATCGATTCTACAGGACTAAGACGTTTAAAATTGCCCTTAAACATCGCAAATAATTGGGAGAATTATTTTGATAATTTCGAATTCGCAATTATATACACTATGCCACGTGATAGGCACATGCCTGGCACTTTCCACTGGGCTGAATATTACTGGTTATTTAAAAATATCGTTTTTGATTCAATATTACTCGTTGAATCGGCAATATCATGTGAGTGGTTGACATAATCAGTTATATAAAAACTCCGCTGATTTTTAATTCTACGCATTGTTAGAGTACCAAACTTCAAGACATATATATTTCAAAGCCACAGATTTTATGACTAAATTTACTTAAGTACATGCCTTTAGTTATGCCATATAAAAGAATTATATTAGGATGCAAACTTACTGAACGTAATAATTGAAGCTGTAGTATAAAAAACATGGAAAAGAAATTTTTAACGTTTTCTTGATAGAATCTTCTAATTATTTGTCTTTAAAGAATTTACCTCTCTAACGAATTCTACAGAATCTGAACTAATTTTCAGACTTTTAAGAGCAACAGTTAATCCATAACCTTTCCATTCAGCTTTAAGAATTGTTCCATATCCCCCTTCGCTAGTTTTCTCAATTATTATAAATTCTTCAAATTTGTAAAAACTTATGTACTTGTCGAATACGGATTTTTCCAGCCATTTTTTTGAATTTTCTGGGTCCATAAATTCTATTCTCACATTAGGTTTTTTCAATATAACAATTTTTTAAAAAAATATTTTATACGTAATAAACACGGAATTACTTAAACCTGTACTTCCGGTTAATATTATCACCCTAAAAAATTGGGGTATTTTTAAAAAAATTGTGCATTTTTTTTGTCATTGGTCACTGTTACGGCAAATTAAAAAAAATCTACAACTCGTTTTACAAATCCTTATATTGACGTACGTACGTGGCTAAATTGCTTGACATTATGCAAGTCTGTTGGGGTTAATGCATCAATCGGCATTTTACAGTTAACTCTCCTTAGTTACAAGCTTAAATTCAACTTTGGCTTATATCATGAACGCAATTTTGCCAATTTTTCTACGGTCCTAACAACTTACTAACTTGTTATGATGATCGCTTATGTTCTTGCACTGTTTTATAACTAGATTAGACAGGTCGCAGAGTCGCTATTTTATAGCATAACCTCAAATGCGAATATAATGATCGAACTTTATCAATCCATTTAGGGATATTAGTATGATCGAACCTTATCAATACATTTAGGGATACTGTACGTCATTGGCCATAATCATTACTTTTTTTCGTTGTACAGCTCATAGTCTGGGAAAAAGTATTATAAATCCGGTCGGTTATTAAAGATAACGCTCCGACTATTTATTATAAGGGTAACACATGTTATTTACACAGTTTTAATTATATGATACAACGGTCATACGATCAGTATCGGCAAGATTTGCAAATTTGATTTTCATTTATTATCTTTCAACCATTTCTCATTTTTTAAATTTCATTTCATTTTGTTTTTCACATTTATCTTTCCTTAATCAATAGTATAAATTCAATGATCGATTCTCTTGGGGACAAAAAATAGGGATATTATTACGTTACGGAGATATCATATATGCAAAAAGTTAAATCGTTCAAAATGAATTCACCCCCGTTTAATCTACTATTACTTCATCAAAATTTAATTCTAACCCTAAATTGTCAGGGAATGTTTGCCATGTAATGAGATCCACCGGTCCAAAAGAATACGCAAAGCCTCTGATTAAAAATCCGGGATTAACAAAATGCCAATAAATTCTGTAGTAGAGGAACTATGCCATAATAAACCCTATTAATTGAGGTCCTGTGTTGCTTCTGGATGTTTGTATGAGAGATATGAAAAAGGAGATATTTTAGCTAGAGCACTATGGTAATTTAAGTTCAATCTAATGCAACTCCATGTAAGGGTCAGTGTTAGAAAGTAATGTGATTAGTTCTGACAGTGAATGCTAATTATATGCATGAACATAACCGGATATCACAGGTAGGTCATTTATGCATGAGTTTCAGGCTAATAAAGTAATGACGAAAAGTTTGATAGTCCTGTGGTTTCCAAGATTATGAACCTCTACTGCCGAACAAAAGGATCCTGCACATGACTTTATCTAGTAAATTTCATTGGAAAAGTTTAAGCTATAATTCGAAGATATCACAGGGTTGCTGAATTTTTTACGCCATTACTTTAGTACTTTGAATCTCATTTATCAATGATTTAAGTTTGTATTTGTTGCACGTTCAGGTATGCCAAAGCTTGTAATTAGCATGGTAAATTAAAATAAGTTTGATTAAATTACGATATCTTGTGATGTAATAATCCAATATATGTGATTTTGGTACTATTCGAATCGTCTCATTGAGAGGATTCGAATGGTACCCAAATCACCTATATTAGATTACTACATCTGAGATATCGCGATTTAATGAATTTATTTTAATTGTTATTTTGTACAGATTTGAATGTCACTTTGTACAAATTTAAATGTCATTTTGTACGAAATTGAATGTCACTTTGTACGAAATTGAATGTTATTTTGTACGAAATTAAATGCCCTTTTGTACGAAATTGATGTCAAAAGGGATAAAATTAATAATCAACTAGTTAAACCAACGTGCGATAATAAACATATTCATAATATAATTATTTTTACTAGGTCAAGATGGGCAGTATTATGTTCATATAGATATTTTATCCCTTCTACTATTTCTATAGCCGTAGATATAATTCTTTAATCCATTGTAATTCGGAAAATTTCTTCATCAGGTAGTCACTTAACTTTCCTTCATTAGGACATTGCAAAAACCATTATGTAACATCTCTGGAAGGACCTATTTATTGTATAAACAGCCGTGACTAATATAAATTATTTACATTTATAACCATTTAAAATCACCTTTGGTTAACCCATAGAGAGTTTATAATAATAATATTTGGGTAATCGGTGGTGTTTTGTAAGAGTATAGGTTTTAAAATATGATTTAATATTTGATAAATAAATGTAAGGATAAAACATTAAAAGAAAATAAATTATACCTCTTAAACTATTATTAACTTCAAGCTGTTTAAGGGTAACGATGATTAAATAGTTTAAATGAGGCTGTAGTAATAAACTAAATTCTTCATAAATCATTGCGATAGAAGTTGATAATTTTGTCTGAAATAGCTTTCTCTTCAAGCAACCCTTCCGAAGTTTTTCCGCGTTTTCATGAGTATTTGTTGGTTTATCTGTGCGTGGATAAAAAAATAAAAAACCAAGGATTCTGTCTATTTTTTTGGTTCATCCCAACACCGTTTATAGCACTCAGCATGCTTAGGTGGTGTACCCTCTATAGGCTTTTCCTTTCGCTATTATATATTTAATAGCAATTTGTATTTTCTTTAATGATGAAACAGGTGATATTACGTTTATATGGATTTTTAAAGCATTGTGGATATATCAATGATGTCAACAGCCGAGTTTAAACTTGACGAAAGCAAATTCTGTGATCTTCATCCTATTATCATTGAACCAGAATATTTTTTTATGCTGTAAATTATATATAGATGTCCTTACAAGGTTTCTCTGGGAAAATTTATAAAATTTCATCTATATAATATAAAATATTTATGTAAAGATACTTTTATCAAGCAAAATTGATTATAACGAACAATATTTATTTATGCGGTTATTCGTCTTTATTACGCGTCGCGTAGCAGATGCATGCAAGTATATTTCAGGCCATATTAGCATATCATGTGAACATATAATCACCATGGCACCAAGTTTTTCATAAATGTAAAGCTTTTCGATCTAATTTAATAATAAAATCCGAACTTTACCCATACAAAAAGTTACAATATTATAGATACCTAGCTGTTCTTGATTGTTATGTTTAATGCACGAGGATGAGTGAAGCTAATGGAATTAATTCCAGTAAGATCTAATTTAATGTTAAAAACAAAAAACAACCCCAAAAAATCAGTCTATTTAATAAAGAAGAGTAACTAATCACCATTTTCAAAAATTCAATCCAAATTCACGACTAACCATTTAACCATTATATATTACGCGTTGTTCTTCTATTGCAATATTGTTACTATTGTTGGGAGAGCAATTGCGGAGAAGCGATTCGATTTAGCTCCAATAGTAAACGTGAAGGGTTATAAAT